TCTTTTCCACAAAAATACTATTTCCTTATGCTGTGTATTGGTGCTCTCACTCAAACTGTCAATCTGTGAACAAAAAAGGTTTCAACTAGAAAGGCCAACATTTGCTTCGGAGCAAATGTAGGAATTTCACTCCATACCCTTCCCCAAACAAAAATGAAAGATTCTAAATAAGCGATACTGCAATTATCTAATTGAGATCAAGGATACAAGGACAAGCAAACTTTTAATCTCGACAGCTTTATTCACAAAATTAGCACTTGACAATTGTCTCCCTTTTTTTTTTACAAAGATACACATAGATTTACTTTACACTTATATATTGCAGGCATCTAAATACAACTACTAAGGCCTCAGCAAGTAAATTTTATGGATGACATCCGCACGCGCATTAATTTCCGCCTGATTTTGGAAAAAAAAACAAGAAATTTTGTTGCCTTCTGACAGTGGTCAACATGCCGAAAATGGGCAAAGGTGTCTGTTGCCATGCAGGCAGGTGGATGGCAGATAACCATGAAGCGAGGAGACAAGAAAAGGCTCTGATTTAATGTTTTGTTTCTTACTTTGATGCAGTGATATGTGATGTTGACTGTATATATGTGATGTTCCTAATGAATCAAAACCATTTGTATAATGATAGAGTCAAAATTTTACATTGTAGGAACCTTGTTTTTTTTCGGCCCGCCTTGTTTTTTTTCGCCCGCTCGCATTACATTTGAAATCTGCAGAGGATGCCATCCATAAAATTTACTTGTTGTGGCCTAATGACAAGATTGTAACTACTCTGAAGCTCTAATTGCACAGAATTGGAGAGTATACCGACATGATCTATATATACTTTGAAACCATACAAACATATTGAATGAATAAATTACACACGACTTACAAATACTAGGAACCTGTACTTAGGCCACACCATTTTAATGTTCTTGTAACCTTGTTCTTGGCCCGCGCTAATTCATGTCCTTATTACAATGTATTACAGCACCCACATATCTCTACGTGCATAAACAATGTTCTATAGGAGAAACTCTGACTATCCACTTCTTACCTGATGATATTTCCTGCTATTTGACGCACAAGATACTGCCAGTCACTGGCGAGAACCTGACGCTGGCAGCAAAAGTCGTCCACCTTGCAGACGACCGAACGTAAAAATGATCACGTGACGCATATGACCAATCAGCGTCAGCGGAAGAAATTCGCAGGAGATTCGAAAAGCGTTCTATGATTGGTCTGCGTCAGGTTGATGCTTTTATGCCCATATTTGGACATGCCTCCGAATTCCTTTCTTATTACGTCACGCGCGTACGCCCCCACAGTACTTTCCTATGGGGACCGCTAAAAAGCAAATAAAACGATTGTAAAAGCTTGTATCAAAAAACTTTAAAAAAACACCTAAGGGTATTTACCCACTCTACCTCTATACGACATTACAGGTAATTTTGCCCAAAAATGAAGGAGTTGAATCATTTTAAAGAAGTGGCAGGAGAAGAAGGAGGAGAAGAAGAAACATCAGAAAAAACAGTATTTCACTCCATACTGAAGTATGGAGTGAAATAACAATGTAGAAATTGCAGGTCAAGGAAGAGAAATGCCTGCCTGGTGTATGTGACTGACGTCTTGCGGTAGGATATTTTTATGTTTGCTATGCATTTTTTTATGCTTTTATTTGACGGAGTTTATTCTGTACCCCTTGGCAAGACAAATACCACTTACGCTTAACCACACATTTTACTGTCATTATATGACAACTTATACACATAATGAATGAATGAAGACCTTTGTTGTACGCAAATACCCACTGGGTTCAGTACAGGTCACAGGAAAGACGTCACAGTTTGCAATGAATATATACAATGTACATGCTAGTGTTAATTCTATGTACTATGGACATATAGTCTAATAATTACGATATTTTGGCTTCTTCTCGCTTCTTAGTAACGATGTAGATATAAGTACAGATGTGTTTTATAATCGAAGGTTTGTCTAAAGCCATGAGAAATATGAACTTATCTGTGTCGCTAAGATGTATGAAATGGGGAAACATACATTGCAATAGTTTATAAAGCTAAATAACGCAGATTAAAGCTCTCGTTCACGCCCCCGCCATCCTCTTTATATCAGAGCAAAAAAGAGAACTAGCTTCTAGGCTGGGATTGGGATTGGGATTCACCCAACATAACATTCGATAATTGAGTTGTCAATTAGTTGTCTAATCTACCCCAAACATGTCTGTAGTAATTTAAGGGCAGAGGTCTTAATTAAGGCCAGGGTCAGGAGGCCAGGGATAGTCTGTTAGTAACAGGTTATATCCACGTGCGGTAACTCTCAAAACAAGCGATATGTAACCCGTATCAACCAATTAGTAACAATTCAGTTCTTTTCTCATCTAAGTATACAAAAGCTGGATTTTCATTTACTTCGAAGATAAAAATTAAGAATGAAACTTTTAATGGCTAAAAATTATCAACAAACCGGTACTGCAAGTATACATGTCGTATTTAATTGCATTGCGCATCGAAATCGCTGCTTGCTGTTTGTTAGACTCAGTTCATTGCAACGGAAATTCACAAAAATCACCACCATCCGTCAACCGGTTCTAGAGTTATCGTCATTTGAAGATTTTTATTTGCCCCTGTATTTCCAAAGCGAGCTGCTAGGGGGTCCAAACTCACGTCGATTTTATCTATGATGTAAAATCCATTACCCTAGGGTGTCCAGATCACGAGATCTTAGGCCTTGGAAAAATGTTGTGTTTTCTGTTTCGATTCACGGAAAATTAGGATCGGTAGCTAGGAATTATCGTTTTATGTCTTTTTTCAGACTTTAGCAATCTTTATGCAAGAATCCAACATATACAATATAGTTTTTAAAAAGTAAAAATTGCATAAGGAAACTTATATTTCCAAGTCAATGTTGGAAAACAAATTGTACAACGTTTCATCACTTGGGTGTCAGATCATGGAGCTTGAAAATCTTGATCAGCTTGAAAAATTTATGTCCCCTGCATGGGTCAACACAAAGACGGGTAGGGTCGGCATTTTTTTCTACGGTCGATCGGGAAACAGGAAAA